GCGTGTAAACTGAGTTCAAATCGTTTCAAAAAAAAAAAAAAAAATCTAGTTGTAAATATCAAGCATTTGATATTTAGAAAAATTTTAGAAGATTTAAGGATTACTTTAGCGAAAGGCTAGGACATTAAGCCGGGTGAATAAAAAAAAAGCAACTGCTTTTACTCATAGTATTTGGAGTAATTGCTCAGCTTTACTTGAATAAAAACTATAGTAATTTTATTCAAATTGTTAGTCACGTAAAGCTGAGCAAATACTCCAAAACGCTGAGTAAAAGCAATAGCTTTTTTTATTAACACAGCCTATTTAATCTACTAAAGCTAGAAATTTGAGATCCAGAGTTTTTATGATTATGAGCAGCCGTAGTGCAGTGGTTGCTCACTTGTCACAGAAACAAAGTATCCGTGGTTCAAACCCCACCTCTTGGGAAGTTTTGCGACATTGGTTAGGAAGGAGGCGTTCAATGAGTATTGAAAAATTATAATCTAAATATAATGCAAGAAAAAAAAAAAAGACAATTAAATAATTAAGGAAACTTGACGAGCTAAACTGCTATAAGCTACAAGCAGTTAGCAACTAGCAGATAGTAACAGTTACCAACCTTTAATGAGCAATTCCACCGTTTCTTACGGGAAGTTTTGGTTTTTGTAATGTTATATATATATATATATATATATATATATATATATATATATATATATATATATATATATATATATATATATATATATATATATATATATATATTTATACAGAATAAATATTTATATATTTATGAATCATCCTAATATCATTTGTTTGTTTTCCTGCATATTGAAATTTCTTTCAATCATTATAAATCTAGGAATTATAGTTGATTATATGCTGTGTTACTTACGGGATGCAAAAAAACATTGCATTAAACCTGTTGTTTTCAGTTGAATATTTCAAGCCAAATATTTAATCAACGTAAACTGGCTTCTTAAATTAAATTAAGTAGCTATTATTCTGTTCAAAATTATTCAAAAAATTGTTTTAGCTATTTATTTATATATCTTAAATCAAATTAGTTATCGTTACTTACTGGAACAGTTCTACTCTTTTATCAAAATGTAGTTTAGCTACGATTTATAAAGAAAGTATGACGCATGACTTAAATTTGAAATTTATAACAAAAAAAAAAAAACGCAAAAATTAAACATAATTTGAAAATTTTAAACATATGGCAACCCAATGATTATTTTGTTTTTGCTTGAATTTATTTATTCATTTTATCAAAATAACTCAATTGAAATACAACAACTGGTGTCTTCTTCAACTGCGTCTTAAACAAAATAATTCATGGGGTTAAGGTCTGGAGAATTTAGAGACCAAGTTGTTATTCAGTTTGCACAGGCCTTTTTTTTAAGCAGTTGACTTTTTCTGCGCTTGTATGAATAGTAGAGGTCTTCATTGAGTGCAAGCTTCATAGTAGAGAATGAAACATTTATTTCACGTGACGGAGCCCAATTTCCAATCCTAGGGGTTCTTTAACACCTTTTCCTGCAGATCTTTATGGAATTTTTATAAAGTCATAATATTATTTTATTGCGCGGTACAAATCATTATAATGCAAGATATTCTCTTCCTTGATTCAGGTGGGTTCCAGACTTCCATCCTCTCTGACACCTTGTATATGAATGAAGAAGGGCCCTAATTTTAAATGATGGCTGTAAAAAATTATTTAAATCAAAAAGTTATTAAAAGAATATAGTTTATCCGTTGCTATAAAACAAGCATCATGATTCACCCATAAATTTTCCTTCTGAAATCCAAATAATAGTGCAGTTGATAAACTATTTGTTGGACAACCTGTGTTGCTAGCTGTGATGTCAAAAACAAGGTCTTTGATTTATAAAGTCAAATTTTATTTCTCAGTTAATTCTGTACAGATTATCTAAGTTTGGAATATAAGAAGATAAGATTGAGTCCCAAAACATTGATGCACAAAAAAACAAAAAAAAATAAAAATAAAAGATTTTGGAACATAAAGGGACAGATACAGTAAAAAAAACGCAACTTTGCTGAATGTGTTGTTAGCAAATAAAGCAACTTTAGAAATATATATGTAAATATATGTAAATATATATATATATATATATATATATATATATATATATATATATATATATATATATATATATATATATATATATATATATATATATATATATATATATATATATATATATATATATATATATATATATATATATATATATATATATATATATAAGGATATAAGGATAAAAGTATTTTGATTTAATGAGCTTTGATAAAAATCATAAGAATAATAAAAGTGAAAAAGTTACATAAAAAAATTACATAAAAAATGGACCATCAATGACTATAAGCATCAACCAACGTGTCAAAGTTTTAAATCTTTTGTTTCAAGAAAAGATTGTCTAAAAAAGAAACCGTTGAATATTGATAAAATAGTTGACTGTAAAATTATTGACTGTAAAACATGATGGTTGTAGTGTTAAGGTGTAGAGCTGTTTTGGTTGGAATGTCACAAATGACATTGTAAAAATAGAGGGAATAATGAAAAAAGTAGTTTATTTGGATACTTAAGAAGTTATGCTATGCCTTAGGAAAGTTACGTTAATTGGAAGCTATTTATTTTTTTAGAAGAAAATAATTTTAAGCCAAAACATCTTCTTCAGAACATTGTATAAACTATTTGAAAGAGTTCAAAAATGATCAAATTTGAATAGAATGATATAGTCTCCCCAATCACAAGACTTCTCTCCTATTTGAATTTTATGAAAAATTAAAGAGATTAAAAGTAATGTCAAAAACTAATGCCTAATGATGCATAATATGTAAAAAAACTTATTAGTTAGTGGCATAAAATTGACTTCCAAAAATTGGATAATTCGTTAAGTAGAATGTCAAAAAAATGTATAGTGGTTATTGTCAATAAGGGTGGTTAATAGTCAAATAAATTATAAACTAATCTAATGGCACCCTGTTGTTATATAATAACCCTATATATTTTTTTATATATAATAAAAAAGCTAAAAAGATTGATGCAATATAAATAAATATCAATTTGTTATCTTTGCAGCAAGTTTAATTTTAACCTTTTTTACAAATTTTTAATTTTAAATTTTAACTTTTTATGTTATTTAACTCGAAAAGTCCGAGAGGGCCATTCAGTCGAGGAGGCTACTTTATTATGGTTACAATCCTCTCTCAATTCTTTGACTTAAAAACACAAATTTGATAAAAAAGGTTGCTGCGCGCAGAAACAAGTTAAGCCCGTTGCTACCAAGGATGCGGCGGATTCGAACTCAAATCGTTATAACGCTTATAAAGCGAGCGCTTTACCACTACATCACTATTGCATGGTATCTAGTTTTTGCTTTATGCTATTTTCAGATCTTATTTGAACCTTAACTAATCCGTTGACCAACCAAGCCCAAATAAATTTTGATGATCTGTTGGCCATGGGAATAAACCTACTTTGCTTTGCTTCGTTCATGTTTTGACTGTACGAGTTGTGTATACAGGCGTCAAATCTTGTTGAAACTGCCACCATTCGCTACAATCAATTACCGTATGTATTGAGAGAAGCATGCAGTTCTCTAGCTTTTCTATAAAGGTATGGCGCAGCTGTCAATGCAAAATGTGTTCAAAAATTTTTTTAGTCGTTGCGATGTATGTTAGAATACTAAATTAAATGAATTTTTTTTTTTTTTAAGAGGCTCTGTTGTAAATTTAAGGAATTTTTTTTTTAATTAGTTTTGGTATTAACATCATTTTTTTTTTTTAATTTTGGTATTCAAACCCTCCTTTTCTTAAAAAAAATTATCGATCCATCACTGTTAATCTTAAGCGTTAAAGAAAGAGTAAAAAAGTAAAGAAAAAGTACTTTTAACATATTATATATATATATATATATATATATATATATATATATATATATATATATATATATATATATATATATATATATATATATATAATATATATATATATATATATATATATATATATATATATATATATATATATATATATATATATATATATATATATATATATATATATATATATATATATATATATATATATATATATATATATATATATATATATATATATATATATATATATATATATATATATATATATATATATATATATATATATATATGTAAATTTATATAATGAGAAATTTGTTAAAAGTACTTTACGCTTACTATAGGGGCTTGATGACAAGACTTTTGTCTTCTTCTTGCTCCTGTCGTTATTAATTTTTATTTAAATTTTATTGATGAAAATTGTAAAACAAGAACGTTGTAAAATGTTTATAAATGACGAATTATATATAAAAATTCCTATATATTTTTTTATAAATTAGGTATATATGTATAATAAATGTAAAATTTAAGTCAAAGTTTAGAGGAATTGAATACATTTTCATCAGTTTTGATTTAGTCTCTTTTTAATTGAAATTATTAATTGAAGTTAAAATAAAAAAACAGGGCCGACGACGCCGGAGGGCTAGAATGGCACGCTTCCCCCCATTTCTTTTTCTTAAGGATTTTTTTATTATGTTTAATATAACTTTTTTATATACAACAGTAAGTTTTAGAATGCCATCTAAGATGTCAGATTTTTTTAACAAAATTTGATTCGCAAATAAAAAAAATTTATAGATATATTATGCTTGAAATCAATACGATTCAAAAATCAAGCGAAAAATGCTTGATAAGATATTCCATATATATAAATATAGATAAAATACGAATAAAAAGAATAGTATTAAAATCAAACAATTTTTTTCGTTTTTTCTCTTTTTTTTTTTTAATTTTTGTTTTAACTTAATTTTTATTTAATATTTTTTGCACTTTGTTTGTAATATAATATATTTATTATACATTATATAATTAACATACAAACGATGGATTAAAGATAATCTATTAACTATTGATAAAAACTTAATCACATGCTGTCATTTTGAATCTAGAGTTTTTTTACTACATAAATCTAATTCAGTTTGAAATATACGCTTGTTTTGATTTGCTTATTTTAAATGAAATTGCAATGAGCAAAGAATTTATTAACGTAAAAGTCGCAGCGAATGCTCGAAGTGAATTTCGACTCGGCAAAAATATTCCCACATTTGGATTATGTCCTGGGTTTTTGCAAGCAAATATTGTAATAATTCCAAGTCAATATGCTGATTTATTTTTAGAGTTTTGTAATTTAAACCCTGGTCCGTGCCCTCTTCTCTATAAAAGCAAAGTTGGCGAAGTCGGAATTCCACTGTTCGCCAAAGAATCAGATATTAGGTAAACTTGCAAAACATTTAATGTATAAACTTTTATTCAACCTTAAACACTTTTACGCAAATCTAAAATAAGTATAATAACAACCAAAGGTAATATTAAAACAATGGAGTAATTATTCTATTTTAGTGCAAGAGGTACTTGTTATTATTTTATGTTCTACCAATTATTTATTTTTTGTTCTATCAATTATTCATTTTTTGTTCTGTCAATTATTAGTACATTTACCAAATGGTGTTATAAACTACCGAACAAATATTTTTTACTATAAATTTCAACTTTTTTAAAAAATTAATTACCATTAATTAAACTATTTTTTGGGGTTTAGAAACGCTACATGGTCATAAATTTTAAACTGTAAATGATAAGAAAACAAGAGTTTTTCTTGTCCTAAGAAAAAAAAGAGGGTATTGATCTTGTAGAAAAATGCTGTCAAGATAAACAATCTTTCAAATACACTGCGTACGTCTAAAGTTATATTTTTGCTAGTATTTATTCTGGTAAATCAACTTTAGGCCACAATGAAACATTTTTTGGAAATAATACACTAGACCTTGTGTAACAAGATCAAGTGAATTTTTTATTTTTAAAATTTTAAAATTTTATTATTAAAAATACGCTAAACCTTTTTGTTAAAGGAATAAAATATACAAAAAGAAATAGGAAGAGAAAAGTGGATATAATGACTAAATCCAGTGGCGGAACTTCAAAATTTGGGCCCCACCCGCAAAAGAATGTTTTTTTTGCGGAAAAGAGTTTTATAGTATAAATATTATTGAGAGTATAACTTTTTTTTATATGAGGGTTCCCTATAGCTGGTAGGCCCCCCCCCCCGCAACGCAGGGTCCTGCGTCCAGTAGTTCCGCCACTGACTAAATCTGTAATAAAATAATTCAAGAACCTGGTTCGTAAGATAATAATCTCTTTGGGAATTTAGATACTCACAAAATTGTGAGTTACTAAATTCATTCCTTGCTGTGTTTTATATTAAATCTAGCCCAATCAAAGACCAGTTGCAAGGATGGCTACAAACTTAAAACAATGTGGGAAAATTCAGTCATATATCAATCTGGTAATTATAAATTTCTTCATACAATATTTTAGACAGTATTTAGAAATTGTATGGAGAATGGAGATTTTAGTTGTGAAAAAATAAGTAGGTGCTGAATTTCTGTGGTAGCTCTTTCATCTCAATATAGCAACTGGTCAATTAAATATCAAGATTTTCAAAAAACAAAATTATAATTATTTTTAGTTATTTCAATATATTTTGTCATAATTATGCTGCAAAAGTTTTTAAACCACAATTGTATTGAACATTTTTAGTAATCCATTTTTCTACAAAAACTTTTAATTGGTTTATTGGATTAACAACAAATTTTTCATTGTACGGATTTTTTGTAATATTTTTCATTATATATTTGAAATTTTTAGAACAGACCTTCCAGAATATAAAGTTTATAAAGATGGTGCTTTAATTGATACCACCAGCTCATTAGCTGATTATAATTGGAACGATTTAGTAACATTTTACTTGGGCTGCAGTTTTAGCTTTGATGACAAACTTATAGCATGTGGAATTAAACTAAAAAATCTAGGCAAAATTGTTGCGATGTATGTATCAAACATCGACTGTGTGTCTGTTCCACCTTTCTCAACAAAAATGGTTGTGTCCATGAGACCCATTTTAAAATCACAGCTACAGATAGCTGTAGATGCAACCATAAATCACGATTATTGTCATGGTGCTCCTATTCATATTGGTTGCCCTAGTGACATTGGTGTGTATGATTTTAATTCTGGATTGGGTTCACCTATTGAATTAAGTGAAGATGAAGTACCAGTTTTTTGGGCTTGTGGTGTGACATCACAAAAAGCTGTTCAACATGCAAGTAAGAAGCATTAACAATTCAAATTAGCCATATGCTGCTTTTGTACTATATAGACTACGTCTACATAGTACAAAAAGATTATAATTTATATATATAATATATAAACTTTTTTATATACATCCGTTGTACATACACTTTTTAATGCACACTTGTATATACATTTGTTTATATATTTATTTAATGATATTTATTTAGATATATATTTGTTTAATGTACAACATTATGCTTACTCAACATTAATGATTTGTAGTAAAATCATTTTTTGCAAAACAGTATGCATTTATTTGAATATTTACCCTTGTTTAAATTGAACTAATATTTTATGTTAATCTTTAGTTTGTATTAAATTAAATAAAACATGAAACTTGATTTTTAAGAACTGCCGTTATCTTTTTCACATTCTCCTGGGAAAATGTTTGTAGCTGATATGAGAAGTGATGATCTTGCTCGTCATATTTCTATTAAAACTTATCCAAAAGCAAAAGTTGTTTGCCTCGATGAAAAACTACAGAGGTATTCTCTGGTTTCTGATAGGATATATACTTTGCTTGGAGAAATTGAAAAATTAGCATGTGAAGACCTGGGAAATAGAAATATAACTCAGCTGGTTATTGAAGAAGATTTTCATAAGGCATGCTTAAGTCTTTCTAAAAACTGTCATTCAGTTGCTATTATTTTAGGATTTCCTCTTTTTGAGTTAAAATGTCCTTCAGAAGAAAATGATGGTATTGCGGGTGCTGTTTATATAGCAAATGCTTTATTGAACTCAGGAAAGAAAGTTACATTTTTTGTTGATTCGTTTAGCGAAACTCTTAAAAGATTCTTACTGTCATCAGTCATCCAAAAAGAATTTACGCAAGTTTTAAGCATTGGAATGGACTTCACTGAAGACAATTTTGATTTTATAATAAATAAAGAAACAGGAATGCCTTACTACACGCATATTATTGCTATTGAGAGACCATCAACTTCAATACAGGGAGGTTACAGAACAATGAAAGGGCGTTCCATAAACTGCAACCCACTGGATAAACTTTTCAATCAAGGTAACTTAGTTCAAAATTAAATTGCTTACTAAATATAATACCTATTTAAAAATTATTGAGTTGTTTTCTAAAATTGATAAGTACAATTGTGATTTAATTATTATCTGTAAAAATAATTTGTCTTTTATTTAATTTTTTAACTTTTTAAATATTTTAATTTTTTTTTAATATTTAACTCTTCTATATACACTTGAATATTTAAAAGTTCTATGCCTTTTAGCATAAATTAAGCTTTTTAGTATAATTTATGCATTTTTATTATTTTTTATCACTTGGTAAGTCAAGAAAAACTGAAATTTCTATTTTTTACTAAAAGTCTTATGTTTTAAAGTATAAAACTACTTTTAAATTCATCCATAAATTTTAAAATCCACATAATAATCTCTTAGCGTTCAATTATGGCTTTATAAAATTTGTAACTCCCTCAAATTTAGGTGGGTTCAATCTTTTTATGGTCATTGTTTTTGAACGCTAAAAGATTATTGTGCAAATTTTATAACTCATTGATGAATATAGAGGGTTAAGAATAGTTGAAAAATATATTTTATGAACTTGTTGTTCTCATGTTTGGGGCAGGTCTAGCTAATATTTTGGGGCCCAGGCTCCAACTATCACAGTTTTTTGCAAAGCATCCTAATTTGACATAAGTATAAACATAAATGTTTGGAGTTTGTTCCCAGGGCCGTCCCGAAGAGGTCTTCCATGGGGGAGGGGATTGTATGTATTTTTTTGCCAACTAGAAACACCAAAAAAAAAAAAGGTCCTTAGTATTTGCAAATTGCCAATCAAAGTTTAAAATTTGCTCAATGTGCGAACTCAAATGCTTATACGGGGGGTGGGACACCCCAACACCCCCAACCGATCCTTCGGGACAGCCCTGTTTGCTCTATGTCTAGAAGTTAGCTCAAACATTAAAAAAAGCTGCGTCCGCATCTGACGAGTTATTTTTAAAATATTAACTGGTGACAAAGAATGATTTTGAAGAAAAAATCTTTTTTTCGACTAATTATTTATTTACTTATTTTCAAACCACAATAAACTAGTTTCCGTGTGCAAAAAAGTTAAAATTATTTGTTAAGTAGTTTTTAAGTGATGAACAATTAAAGTGTGCTAATTTTTATTGTGCTCAACCTATATACCGGGTGAGAACATCAATAAATCTTTTGTGGTATCACTATTCACTACCTTTTAAACTCATTCCAATCTTGGTTTATCTATTTTTGTCACATAAAAATTGAATTCTTCTCTGAAGTATTCATATATTTACTAGCTGCGTTTGTGCAGTCGTCTTGACACAAAAGGCTAACACAAACGGTAGAGTAAACGTCTTGACACAAACGGCAGACAAAAACGGCAGACATAAACGGTAGTAGAAGAGTGTAATGACGTAAAGAGTATGGCTCAAAGAGTAGCAATATATATATGTTTTTCCTTCAACAGTTGAGCTTATTTTTATTAATTTAAACCTTATCTCTAGCATCAGTGATTATTTCGGTTTCTTCTGTTATACTTATTAGTTGGTAGTAAATTGTTTCCTCTGACTGCGTGTTTTATTTAATCACCTAAAGTCTTGTACTGTTTCTAAAGAGAAAATTGAAACTTCATTTTGTTTTTTATTTTTATTTGTTAAAAATGTCTGCAGGAAACAAAAGCATTTAGAGTGTCATTCTCGAGAAATATTAATAATTTTTTCAACGTTGCCATTTATCTGAAAGTTAGTTTATACATGTTTGTGTTCTTTGAGAACCCTTACCGTGGCTTTATTTTACCCATAAGTTAAAAAAGTTGTTTGAATCTCTTATATAGTGTTAGCTCAATCACCAACTAGTAACTAGAACTATATAACTAATTTTCACCTTATTTTCTAGCATTTCTTTATGTAGTTTTTCTGTAAATGCGCGTGCATTGTAGAGGTCACGCAATGAGGCCTTTGTTATGAATTTGAATTATTTAGTCGCACAGCTCATTTCTTGGGGTGCCATGCTCTTGGAGTACCATGCTCTCTTTATGATTGAGTCAGGTTTTTCAATGACTTAAAGCATCACAAAAACCATTATCACTACCTAAATGTTTCTATATATTTTTAATTCGTGGTCTAATAACTTTTTATCTTTTGAATCTTACCTCTTGTAAAATTTACCAGATTTCTTGTTCATTGTGAGACTATTTTAAATTTATATCTCTCCTTTGAATTTCAGTACTGATGGCTATTATTCTTTGATTTTCAAAGACTTAACAAGCCACATGTTTGGCTTGGGCATATATTAATGCGTCAATTTACCACTTTGTTAAGAAATCAGGTTTAAACCCTCTGACCATTCTTTTATGTGCTTCTGCGTAAACCTAGTTACTCAATTGCCTTTCTCTTTTTTCTATATTGTTCTCCTATTTTTCAATACTGCATTTTACTAGATGTAATATCTGATTCAATTGTCGAAACCGTTTCTCTTTATCCATCAGTCAATATTGTTTTTATTGGTGAATTTCACCCTTATTATGCAAAATTAGGTTTGGCTCTAACGCCACTTACACTGCTGGTATCAAAGCTCCTTTTACATTTCTTAATCTCTTACTCAGGTAGTTAACTTTGTGACTCTTTTTCCTTACAACCCATATTATTTATCTTTATTATTTTTAGAGGTGTACCGGATATGAGTTTTTGCATAGCTGGATGCCGGATATAGATTTATATATCCGTTTGGATATGCCGGATATACCGGATGTGTTGAATATTGTAAAAGAATAAGAGGGGACGAGGTTTCTAGGGGTGCCTCCCTCCCCTAGTGATGCCTCCTAACTGTTGCCGTAACCAATATTCTTAAATATTACTTATGTTTGAGTTTATCCAGTTTTATCTGAACTTAAGCGAATGGTTTAAAATGGCGTCTCTTTGTTGGAATTCTAGGAATTTTTAAAATAGAAAAATTTTACAATGGGTGTAACAGGGCCGTAGAAACAAAAATTGTATTAAGACGGAAGAGGGGTACTACCCCCAAATAGTTTTAACGACTTTTTTTTTTTCTAATCATTTTTAGTCAATTTCTTCAAAATTATTTATTTGAAAAATTATTGGGGGGCAAATGCCTCTGCTGCCCACCGGGTTTCTACGGGTCATGTAACTAAAGTAGCGTACGCTACTTTAGTTAAGCTAAATATAGAATTTTTTATTTGGAACAATTCTTTTTAAGATTTTAATAAGTTTTAGGTTGTAGATATTACATCTATAAATATTATTATGCAAAAAGGAGAAAGAGGAGGTCAAGATAACAAGGGGAAAAAGAGACAAGAGGACGGTGGGGTCATAAATAGACTTTATGGACGGTGTCATAAATAGACTTTATGGACGGGTCATAAATAGACTTTATGGACGGTATCACAAAAGGACGGCGGGGTCATAAATAGACTTCATGGACGGCCGCTTACGCTATTTATATGTAATAAATAATTATTATTGAGATTTAAACATTTATAAAACTACATAAAACAAGCGACATTTACTATAGATATATACGACTAAGTTTGAAAATAACTAACTTATAAAAGGTTAACTTTTATATAAAAGTTAACATTTTATATTTAGCAAATGTAGCTTATTTTGTGTGTGTATATATATATATATATATTATATATATATATATATATATATATATATATATATATATATATATATATATATATATATACACATAATATATTATACTTTTAACATTTTTAAATTATTGTAACTGTTATTTTTATTTGTAATAAAGCCTTTCTTCTTCAAAAGTTTTCCTTTCTTTTTTTCTTTTTCTAAAATTAAGAAGTGATTAGTGAATTATAGTGAAAAATTAGCGAGCAATAAATTAAAAAAAAAATAGTTATCAATTGTTTATTCATTTAAACTTAAATTGGTGCGATTACTATTATAGTAAAATAATATACCGCGGTATATTATTTTACTATAATACTTAATTTTTACTTTTATTTATTAAGTTACTCAAAAAGTTCATTCCTAATTGTTACAAAGTATGTACACAAGTGGGATTTAAGATGATCTCAAAAATTACATATCCTGCTACATCCGGCCGCATTTATAATATATCCGGCCAGATAGCGGATACCTAATTATCTGGCATTTTCGCCACATTATCCGGTCGGATATCATATCCGGTACACCTCTAATTATTTTACGTTTCAACACATCCTTATTTTAAACTTCATTTTCAGCCTTTAATCGCACTACTTACTACTACTCTCTAAAGTTGAATAAGATTTTTGTCATGATTACATTTTTTTGTTTTTCTTTTGATAAATACACTTCCTACGTAACACCCTAGATCCATGCAGGTATAGAAATTTTTATTTCTTTATGTCAGTTTAATGTCATACCTTATTCTACTCAATGGTTTTCACCTGTGCTTTCAATTTTAAAAATCTCTGACCTGCTAACTGCAGGACAAAAAGATTCTTTAGTGTATTATACAAAATTAGTGAAGCAAGGACTATTTAGCATGCCGGTCTTCTCCATAAGCTTGCTTCATATGGTGTATCTGGGAATTTTTTTAAGATTATTTTTTTTTAAATTAGTTTTTTGAGATTATTTTTTTTGAGATTATTTTTTTTGAGATTATTTTTTTGAGATTATTTTTTTTTAAGATTATTTTTTTGAGATTATTTTTTTTTGAGATTATTTTTTTGAGATTATTTTTTTGAGATTATTAAATTATTTTTTTTCTAATTGTAGTATTAAATTTTATGTCCAAAATTATTTGCTGAAAACTCAACTTTATACTCTTGCCTTGAAAAAAGGCCTTCACTTTTCAAAAGCTTTTGAATCTGATATTTCTTTTGTAACATCTTGGGGCTGGTAGTATCTTGTAAAATTTAAGCCAACAAACCTCACTTTATATTGCATAAAGACTGTTCAAATACAACGTTACACCTTTTTTGTTGTTTTTATTGGTCCGCTCCGCTCCCTTTTGTGTAGTTTTAAGGCAATTTAAAGAATTTCTTTCTTCCGC